AACCTATTTGAGCCGCGGCACATCCTTTTCATGCAAAACAAATAATTTATGGACATTGGTCATCTGCCCTTATGGACCAATGGCATTTCTTTAGTTTGAACTGTTTGATTCTCTGTGTTGGCAAATTCAGCGGTTTTGTAAAGTTCTCTAAGATAACTACTGTTGTGATTTAGGGCTACACTCATTCTTATTGGGATTTAGTAAAACATTTTACTGTATTTTACTATTATTAAAAAGATGTTTATGTTTTGTGGAGCTTTGTATACAAATTGTGCTCTACAAATATACTGCTTGAATGGAACAGACTGGTAGAAAGACATGTAGCTGCTCTCTTTTGAATGATGAGGTTTTTGTCTTTAAATAAAACATGATTCGTTACACCAGAGAAAATAAAACCCTTAATTTCATCAATGACCTTCTCCACCCTGATCAAAAGATATTAAAAAATAAAAGAAGAAATCAACAGTGTTTCAAGCGCTTTGGGTGACCTCGGTCTGTAAAAATGCGCTATATAAATAAAGCTTACTTACTTACTGTTTCATGAACTTTCATTTATGATACAAATGATTCTTTTGTGTTGGGGAAGGCACATTGTGGTGAATGGCAGATCTGTTTTAAAGACATATGCTTTATTCTGCTATATAGTCATAATCTAATCAGATCCATGGATCATTACATTAGTTTAAATTGGAACACCTCAATAATGAAATATTTGATTTTACAGTGTGTCCCTGTAAACAGTCCTTGAAAAATGTGCTTCTTTCTTGATTCTATGTGTGACTCACGGCAGGAGTATGAACTAACTAAGTGTTAGATTTAGTTAATTCAATCTCCTGAACTTTAGTTAGTGAAAATCATTACACTTAACACAAAGTGTCACTTTGTGTACACTCTACAATCACTTTGTGTACATTTCAAAATCATTACAGATTGAAGTATTTGTAATGTAGTGCTGTACAGTCTGACAGCATAATAAGGAAGGACCTGCAAAATCTCTCCTTCACACAGCGAGGGTGGATTAGTCTGTCACTGAAGCTGCTCTCCAGGGCAGAGAGAGTGTCCTGCAGGGGGTGACAGTCATGGTCCAGCATACTGTAGATGTTAGTTTGTCCAGGACCCTTCTGTCCCCCACCTGCTGCACTCCTGGAAACAGCCCAGGACAGAGCTGGACTTCCTGATGACCTTGTCCAGCTTCTTCCTACACTCACATTTAATTTAAAAAGTTATAGAAGTATAGGTGATTAGTTTTATAATCATTGCATTTCTTTTGTTTGAACTGTTTGATTCACTAATCAAGTATTGACTGGCACCAGTCCTTACAAACACTGGTATCAGTTCATACATGGCAGATCCTTAAAGCATCGACACAGTATCATAAAGGAAAAGGCTGCATTGGTGAATCCCTAGATCCAAGTCAGTTTTGCATATTTTTTTCTCTTTTACTTTGGCTGTGTGAGAGCGCACGGATTACAGCGTGACAAAAAGCCCTGGTGCAGCGGAGGGGGGATTTGGGATCGCCTAGCTTTCTGTCATCTCAGGCTCACTCATCTGTCCCATTATTGTCCTTCTGACGCGCAGTCTACCACACCGGGGGGAGCGACGGAATTAAGCAAGTGGATATGTGCGAGTGCGAGTGGGTGGCTGGCTGGCCGGGGCATTTAATTGACAGAGCGCTCGCAGTGTGCTGGAGCCACTCTGACAGCCGGGGGTAGTGTGAGGAGGAAAGACTGTGGGCCCCGAATGGTACTTCTCCAAGGAACATTATCTCAAATCAGATCACAGATTTCTGATGGAACAATTAAGCTCTATGGTGGATTTTCCTCTGTAGGTTAAGCGGATCACTTCTGAGTATTATGCGATTGAAGTATCTGTAATGTAATTAAAAAAAAAAAAAACTAATAATAATGTATTCTGGAGTCTTTGAAGCCGGGGTAGCTAACTTTAAAACAGCATAAAATGTTAAAGTACACATCTAACTGCTTCATATCTCACTTTGGTCCATCATAAGTTTTCACATGCATGTATTTTAGCTGTTTCAGACCACCGCCTTTTAGAAGATAGTTAATTGACTCTTGCAGCTATTATTTCACAAATATTTTGTGTTTTCATTTACCTATTTAATTCATTTTAGAGTTAGCATGTTGTATTGTTTTTCTACTCAATCCAAAATGATCCTTTCTCTGCATTTCCACTGCTCGCTTTTTGAAACCTGTGTGAAACATGATTCAGCAGCGTCAGCCAACCTTTTTTGGCACATACTAAGAATAAAAATCTGCTCCTCTCTCACACGGTCTAATGCTTCATGGGATATTTAAGTAATGATGCTTTTGTTTACATACCAGACAGGAAGGCGGAAATCATTCTTTTAACTCATCACTACCTTAACCGATCTTTATTCCACATATTGGGGCCGGAGGGGCATGTTTGATTAATATTATGCATTCAATACTGTCATTGGGTTGGTGGGGGGGGGGGGGGGGGGGCAGTAGCTCAGTTAGTAGAGCATTGGCCTTTGAGCCTGAAGGTCGTGGGTTCGCGCCCACCTCAAGTCCCTACTTCACGAGTCCCACTGATGACTGCTGTCGTTGTGTCCTTGGGCAAGACACTTAACCCCACTTTGCCTGAAGCCCCCACTGAAAGATCTCAGCTCCTGTGGACTCACCACCTGCAGGAGGATCAGTGAGGGGCTGGTGCTCTGTGTACTGGGTGGCAACTCTGACTGCCACCCCCCCGACCCAGAAATGGATTAAGGGGAAGAAAATGGATGGATGGATACTGTCATTGGTAATATAACAGTGTCAGTCACCATTTAAAAGGTAGCATACGCCATGCTTTGGAATTCTGTTTTAGACTGGATTTGTATGTGTAAAAGTGCCATAACATCTTATAACATATTATCACGATAAGAGGGAAAATAAAGCAATAGCAATAAATTAGGAGCCCTTACGCTTCCCCATATACTTCTTTTTCTCCTTTTCATCAATCCATTAGTGTGACTCATTTCTTTCAGTGACTCTTTCTGCCCAACAACAATGAACCATACACGTCATAATACTAGGTCTGCTTATGTAATACCCATGAGGTCTGAACGGTAACTTCTCGCCTTTTTCTTGAAGAATAAATCATATACTGGGAAAGTTTGACCAACTGATCAGGCTTTGTGTTTTGAAGACTCGCACTGTGCATTCTGAGCGATAGTTTTGAAATATTGATGTGAAACCAAGTCAAGTAAGTTAAGTCATGGCGAAACAGCGTTCTAATGCAGCGATATTGGCTTCATTCTTTAAGGCTTACAAAAAGCATAACCGACAAGGCAAGATTTAAAAAAGGAAGCTTTATTATACATTAAAACATGTCTTTAAAAAGAGGAGCTTCTGAGGTGCAAAATCAGCACCGGTTTTGCATAATCCTCCACAGCTATCTTGCTCTTTCCTAAATTACATTGGTGAGTGGCAGGCAGAATTTCTACCGTTAGCAAGAATGGCTTGGTACAATGCAGTGCAAGCAAGGCCAGCGTAATTCCTTTCTTTTCTACACAAAGGACTTAGATTTGAGCTATCTTTGAATGCAAATGAACAGTCAAGTCAAGCAATCGGACCAACAAAGTCTGTGAGCAAACACAATCAATCCCACTTCAGTTTACAAGAAGTTAACATGAAATATCCAGCAATTCTGTCCATTAAATGCGTGCAATAAATGAGTGCAAATAAAAGAAAATGTCTTTCCTACTGCCTTGAAACAAAATGCAAACCAGAAACTTTACCAGGGAGTCCATATCTGCAGCTCATCAGAGGTAGAGCTGGGGACTAGAAATGGTGATCACATCATGGACTGGAGGACGGGGCCATAGTGAGTGCTGAGGTCCACTTCTCACTTGCTCTTGTATGAAGCGTGAGGTGGCAAGCAGCTACTTTGGAATTCCGGGTCTTTGTCTCATGACCAACAACAATCGAGGGGTGGGCCGTTCCATTCGCAGCAATAAGCACCAAACAGAGAGCAGCAGTCGTATATGAGCCGATCGGAACGTGACTGGTTGGGTTGCAAAGGGGCAGAATATTTACTGTATATTTCCAGCGAGTTTACAGTCATTTCTCATGAGTATTATGGAAATAATACATATTCAAAAACATGTAAAAAACCCCTCTCCTTCCAAAAACAACCCACAATAAACTTGGCATCTAACCTTTCAGCCTAATATCAACCAGATGAATACGTTTTTATCTGATATCTACAATCTACACATTTAATCAGAATAACAAACATAATAACATCAAAAGTTTGGTTAGTTAATATAAAATGTGGCTTCAACAGTCTTGTGCTTTGGAATCAATAGTGTGGTCCATCTTTGAAATCTTCTGTACATGAGATTGAGGAATGACATGGACACTCAGGTGTATTTGAATGTAATCTGTTTGTTTTCACCAATATTATATACTTGGCTAAAATATACTTTACTTGACTATATATAAGTTCCCTGTAAGAGCCAACTTTTATTTTGAAAGTTCCCTTCTAATTCCCATTTACTCCAGTTAAAAATTCCCAGAATAAGGCAACACTACAGATCAGTAATTATTATTCACATCTTGATGGCGGTTGGTGGAGACAATATTCACCAACGTGTCCACATATCAATATTTTATCACACCGCATCGTCGGATATGTATGCTGTAGGATTTCAAAATATAGAAAAAAACCGTAAAGAAGCTAATTCCAGAGATTAATCTTGGAATAAAAGCAATCACTTTGTATGTCTTGTTTATTCAACATTCTTCACTTTCAGTAATCTGCCCGTCTCAAACCATGCTAAGACAGATATTTGGTGTGTTCTTTTTGCACTTTGAACAAACAACCTTTTTATCTTCTGGAAAACCTGAGCACTTCCATAAAAACTAAAGAGTCGGTTTTTGTTCTAGCAACAGGGTGATTAGCAGAGTGACGAATAACTGAACAGGCACTGCTAACAGCTTCCCCTTGTTCAAGTCAAACTCCAACCGTGGGATATGACACAGTTTCGACAACGGCACAATTTAAGCCACAATCAGTCCGACTTGGCGGTATCGGTGGCAGACTGTGCGTGTGTCGTCTGCCGGTGAGTTGCCTGTCACAACAGTGCATCGTAGAGGGATAGTGTGGGCGGACAGAAGGCATCGCTCAACACCAGTCACAAGACGGAACTGTGGAGATGGTCAGACACCAAGTCAACTGTTGCATTGGCACGTCCAAAAACACCTCTGGGGAGAATGCAGTCATTATTTTCACATTTGAATGTTTTGGAGATGATTGAAAGGTGTGACTGAAATAACAGAAAGCAATCATTTTGGAGTGGGTTAACAACCCTTCACACGTATCAGCCGGTTTCTGCGTAAATGAGCGAGTTAATGATTTTAAGGAAATCAAATTCCAAAGTGACAAGACCTTCAAAGCTCAGTGAGCCACTTTTGTTTTGAATTTAGAAATGCGATTTTCAGTTTCTACTACTGTTGTCACGATACTAGCATTTCAATGTCATAAACTCAATAGTATTTTTTGGACGTTCTTCAATAAGACTACATTTTTGGGGGCGACAGTGGATAAGTGGATAGAGCATTGGCATTAGGGCTTGACGGTTGTGGGTTCAATCTCTCCACAAGACCTACTCCATCTACTCTCACTAACGACTGCTGTTGTGCCCCTGGGCAAGACACTATGCTGTGGACTGACCACCTGCAGGAGGATTAGGGGCTGATGCCACATTGGGAAGCAGCCCTGATTTCCACCCCCATGGAAAGGGATGGAAAGCTACATTTTTGAAGCCACAACATTTATACTAGCTCTGCTGATGTACAGTAGTATAGTTAAGTATACTGTATGTATTTTTTTCTCCTCAGTTTCAATACTTGCTCACTTCAGGAGTGAGTTTGTACATTTTTTATACTTTTGACAAAAAGGGCACCAACATTGTATCTGCCATAACAATAACAAAATAAATTGCATCGGGAAATGTATGAAGATATACTGTACGTTCAGATGCAAAATACATAATCACGTGTATGATGAAATTGTGATAATATGGTATTATATCACACTGAATCATGAGAAACCTTGTGATTGTTTTAACTGCTGCGACCTCTTGGCTCGCACACAGTCCACACAGTGAGAGCTTCCTGCGGCTGTCCGGGGAGGGGCATTGATGAATGAAAGCCCACCCATCTCACTGTAAAGAGCAATCGGGGCCACGCACACTCCTCATCCTCCATCCACTTCCCGCACACTCTATTTGCCACTCCAACTCTCATTATACCTCCCTAGGACCTGCTGGGTGGGCCTGCTCGATTTTTTTTCTTCTTCCCTAAACAGGTTAAGACCCCCGGAAGCATCAATCCTGCTACCAACCGCTTTGATCGGTTTGTACTCGCAATCCAATTTAAGAGCTAGCCTGGAGGTATAAGGTCCGTGTGTAATTTTGCTCCTTGGTGTAAAGTGCTGGCTGGCTCGCGGTTGCTGCTAGCCGCGGACTGACGCTGGCTTACGCACAGTTTTTTGTGCATGTCCGAAATTTACAACCGCTCGCTCCTCTCGCAGACGGTGCTTTGGGGAATCAGGAGGCATTGATATTCTGTGGGGCACCTCGCCACGTTCAGGATAGCAGCCTATAAAACACAGGCAGTTCGTTGCGGCCCATCTCATTTTTTTTGTTTTGTTGTTGCGTCATTCGGCTTTGAGCGTTTTTACCTTCCCTTGTGACACGTATTTCGGAAGATGAGTGACACAAACATGCATGAACTGCTGCTAGTTTGTAAATGACGCAGGAACAAAAACAGAATGGTCAAAAACTGATGGAACTATGCATTTAAAACCATGCTCTTATGAAGCATTTACAGCTTGTAAAGAAGCATAACAGCTACTTGTATTGTACATTTTGTGTGCTCCTTGTGTTACTACTGTCCTGTATGTGCGCTGCAACATACAGGCTGATGACCACAAGCTAGCTGACGATCTGAACTTATTTTTCAGTCGCTTTGATGCTGCCCCTGACACCTCTCCCTCCCCCCCCCCCACTACTCTAACGACCCACCCATCAGCCCTGCCCCCAGCCTAACAATAGCCGCTAAAGAGATTAAACAACTCTTCCTGAGGCTGCACCCCCGCAAAGCTCCTGGCCCGGACCACGTGTCTCCGGCCACTCTGAGACACTGCGCCAGTGAGCTTACTCCTGTGTTCACGGACATTTTCAACTCCTCTCTGCAGTCCTGCCATGTCCCGGCCTGCTTCAAATCCTCCATCATTGTCCCCGTCCCGAAGAAGCCCAGGATCACAGGACTCAATGACTACAGACCTGTAGCACTTACGTCTGTCGTCATGAAGTCATTTGAACGCCTGGTTCTCTCCCATCTCAAGTCCCTCACCTCCCCCCTCCTGGACCCCCTGCAGTTCGCCTACAGAGCCAACAGATCTGTAGACGACGCCATTAACCTGGCCCTCCACCACATCCTACAGCACCTGGACTCCCCGGGGACCTACGCCAGGGTCCTGTTCGTGGACTTCAGCTCTGCCTTCAACACAATCCTGCCATCCCTGCTCCAGGACAAGCTCTCCCAGCTCAACGTGCCCGATTCCACCTGCAGGTGGATCACTGACTTCCTGACGGACAGGAAGCAGCGAGTGCGTCTGGGGAAGAATGTCTCGGACTCTCGGATTATAAATACAGGAGCCCCACAGGGCTGTGTTCTTTCTCCCCTGCTCTTCTCCCTGTACACCAACCACTGCACCTCCAGCCACGACTCCGTGAAGCTGATCAAGTTCGCGGACGACACCACCCTCATTGGACTCATCTCCAACAACGATGAGTCCGCCTACAGGAGGGAGGTGGACCGGCTGGTGTCCTGGTGCAGTGGTAACAACCTGGAGCTGAACGCCCAGAAGACAGTGGAGATGATTGTGGACTTCAGGAAGAGCACTGTCCCCCCGCCCCCACCCTCCGTGATGGACTCCCCCATCACCTCTGTGGAGTCCTTCCGTTTCCTGGGCACCACCATCACCCAGGACCTCAAGTGGGAGCCGACCATCAGCTCCCTCATCAAGAAGGCCCAGCAGAGGATGTACTTCCTGCGGCAGCTCAGGAAAGCCAAGCTGCCTGCACAGATGTTGGTGCAGTTCTACACGGCCATCATCGAGTCCATCCTCACCTCCTCCATCACCGTGTGGTTCGCTGGAGCCACAGTCAGGGACAAACAGAGACTACAGCGCATTGTGCGCTCTGCAGAGGAAGTGATCGGCCGCAGCCTTCCATCGCTGCAGGACCTGTACGTCGCCCGAGCTCGAGGCCGGGCTGGTCGTATCACAGCCGACCCCTCTCACCCTGCACATGGACTATTCCAACCACTCCCCTCAGGCAGGAGGCTGCGGTCCATCAGGACTAGAACCTCCCGCCACAAGAACAGTTTCTTCCCCTCTGCTGTTGGACTCTTGAACACTTCTTAACCTGTCCCCCCGCCCTTTATAAAGTCACTTTACTGCCCATCATACGTCACTTTACTTCACTGTACTGCTGTCACCTTACATTGTGTGCACCATGTGCACTTGTATATTGTAAATAGTAACTGTAACTCTATTTTAAATTTAAATTTATTCTTTAGAAGTGTTTTTTATTCTTATTTTTATTATCTCTTTTCGACTGTTGCACTGAGCCAAAGCAATTTCCAAGTCTGTGACCTCCCGTTACTTACGTTGGCAATAAAAATGATTCTGATTCTGATTCTGATTCTGATTCTGAACATCAAAATGTACCCACTGTCGGACTGATAAAGGATCTCTTATCTTGAGTGAAGGAAAATTAATATTGTGTTATTGTTTTTCATGTTATATATATTGAAATAATTCTGCAGGATTGGTCTGACAAATTGACCAATCAATCAGGCAAGAGTATCTGAGACATCGCCCATACACGCATATATATCGCGAATATCCAAATCCATATTCAATAAATAACCCATAGGTTCAGCTAGTGGACCTTTTGAACAAAATAAAAATCAACCAGGGTCACAGAAAATCTTTTTAAAACCTCTATCTTAGCACTTTCGTATTTCACAGACCAAGGTCACCCAAAGTGCTTTAGTATGTTTTGGAGTACAGATATTTTTCTAGTCACTCCAAACACAGCGATGACAGATGTGAGACGCCAGACACACGGCCTACACCCATGGGGGAGAACCACTGCACCGAAGATCTGCTTTCGATGATGGCACAATGCTGTAACATGGTTCAAATATTCGCCACACTTACCCTGTCACTAAACATAAACTGACAGCAGCCTCTAACAGTGAAACGGCCGGCTCTTTGCACACTTCTATTCCCCAGACCGTCACGACAAACCCACCCAGCCGTTTCCTATTCCAATATTTATTGTTCTAAAACAGCGTCTGATCGGATTAGCATTTTCACCCCCGCGGTGTAAAATATTTGGCTGGAGTCGGGAGGAATCACGGGAGCCTTAAGAGTGTTTGTTCATGCGGCACAGTGAGAGAGAGAGGGGGAGTAGAGAGAGAGTGCCTTAACTCTGCACAACTGATCAAAAAAAATTATAATACAACTTCCTGTAGGCATAAAGCATGTAAATACGGTGTCAAACAGGAATATAGAAGATAAGCAAACAAACAAGACAAAGCAAGCAAAACTGGACCATTTGACCATCTTTAATTGTTTTCTTATTTCTATTTCATATCCACTAAAATGAATGTATGCACGCACACACATACACACACACATAGATAAACACAGACATGCAGAGACACACACTTTATTTCTGTACTGTATGCAAAAGACACCTATTTTCTAATGTTAAGAAGACAGCCTGTTGTGGTCTGATTGTAAATAATATTGTAATCTTTCTATTGGAACAAACAGTGTTTTTTTTTATGAAACTTAATGATAGTACTTTTTGGATAAATGGAATTCTAAAATACTTTTGATTATCCTTATTCAGTTTGAAGGGTTATATTGTGGCCCGTGTGTCAGTCTACATGCCAGACACTGACACCTTTAATCAGAATGACACTCTCAGTATGATCTGGGCCTTTTGTCCCCCGGGTGGCCTTTTGGTCCAACTGTCCATAATAGGAAGATGTTAATAGGCAAGAAAATGTCAAGGACGGAAGGACGGACTCTGCTGTTTGAGCCTTCACACAGAGGACAGGAAACAAGTGGCTTACGAGAGGCTAAAACTGTGTCAGAGGATGTCGCCAAAGCTCGTGCTAAAATGTTGCAAAAAAGAAAAGCAAATATTTCTGTTAAATGCCTTGAAATATCAGACCAACTGAGTTGTCCATTACTTTCAACTGAAAAATTGCATTATGTCAGCTTGTTATGACCTAAAGGACAAAACATACACTCTAAAAAAAAATGCATTGGCAAAACTTAATAAAATTGAGGCAGCATTTTGCATGCATCTTTTTAAGTTTTGCGAACAAGACTGTGTTTTAAGTATTCTTTGTAAGTCTTTTATCATTGGTCCAGCACAATTTTTTCAATACCACCAACTTGGATAATTGAGTTATAAAGACACTTTGTTAAGTATATTCAGCAAGTGTTTTAGCATCAGTTCAACTCAATTTTAACAATACTACCAACTTAAATAATTACATTGAAAATAAATCTTTTTGAGTATAATCACAAGTGATTTACAGTCAGGAATATGTAATCTTTATTCAAATACCATCTTTCAAAGATTAGATTCACAAAACGGTTCACAATTGTTAATTTTAGGCAGTAGTCTCACTCCACATATATATGAGAGTGGGCCAGCACAGTCACTGGTAAACATGTTCACCTTAAAGTATTTGTTCGAAATTGAAGGGTGACACAGGGAGTATAGGACTGCTTTGGCTTGGCCCTCTCGATCATGGTTGATAAAAATAAATACAATTACTTATTTGGTCAAATTAGTTTATTCAGAATGTTGCTCAAGTATTTTGCTTTAGGACTTGCTTCATATTCAGTTTTAAAATTAATGCTCAAATGTAGAATTTTTAAGAAGTTTATATTTTTCGCTGCAATGCATTCTGGGTAGCGTCACTGCTTCGCCACATTTTGTTTCAATCAACACAATATATTTATTTTGAATCAACTCAATATATTTGTTTTTTCATTAATGGGCCACCAGGCTTACAAGAGGATTTTCATGTTGAGCAAACTCAATACTTCTCCGTTGTCCAGTTATGCCAGAATATCAAGTTCAAATTTGTTACAAAAATGAGTTAGGATTCTTGTATTAACTTTTAATTGAGACAGGCATGTTTAAAATGAGTTGCGACCACACTAATTTAAGTAAAACTGGCAAAAATCAATTATTGAGTTTAGTTTAGTATGTATTTTGAGTTCAAAATACTAACCACCTGAATCATTTCTTTGAGTGTACAGAGAGACAGGTTGAGAGTTCAAAAAAAGCATTTTGTCTAAAGTTGTTTTGTTCAAAGTGAACTCTTTTCTGAATAAACCAAAAGCCAACCTTGTGTCCAAAACCCAAAAACCCAAAGCAACAATCCAAATTTGGTGGAGCTGGTGAGTCAGCCAAAACAAAGGATCGACACCAAACAAACCCTATACAGGGCCGTTCGGATCCGATGATGATCCCCTAACTTTGGAGTTACGCTTCACCCTCACAAGCAAAAATGAAACCACCGGTCCCACCAGGTCACAAAATCAGAGAACTAATATAAAACCCAAAAATACCTGGACAAGATATATAACCAAAGGAGAAAAGGTGCCAAAACATAACACAGCTTTTAAAAAAATAAAAAGAAAAGAAGACTTTGATCTTGTGCCTGGCTCGCACATGCTTCTCACAGAACACTCAGAGTTGAATTTGGTTGATCCAACCCAAAAATAAGCTAATCACAACCTTATAGTAACATTAATGATAGTAATATTAATAATCAGTGAAACTAGAAATTGAATTAGTCACCACAACAATGTCCGTGTCATTATAAATGTCGAACTTCCAATAGATATTACATGATTCAACATTGGCCATAAATTCTCCAACAATGTCTAAAAGCACAAAGAAAAAGTATGACAAAAAAAGCTCCCATGACGCATTAGTCACCTCCGACCATTTCTGCTGGTGCGCACAACATTGCAATGTCACCAGGCAAAGTTTCCCCTCTTGAATAAAAAGTGCTGATACACATCACAAGTTCTGGATCCATTAATCACAGCACATTCTCGGCTTATTAAAGCCAGCTTAGAGCCTGGTCTTATCACGCTGCACTGTACATTTCTTTTCTTTGGGCAGAGTTATCCAATAAAGGAAGACACCGGCTGTGGGGGGGGGCTTCCATCTTACGTCGACAAGCCTGTTAACAAGCCTCATGCATCTCAATCACCATAAACAGTATCCATCTTAAGGCAAGCTAACGACGCCGAAGCAAATAAATGTCCTGCGCTGACTAATAATTTAGACACAAGTCACATTTTTAGGTGATTAATTATCCCTCCTCGCTCATTTCCTCCTGCTCCTAGTTTTGAGTGAAATTATTGTGTGCATTAAAACCAAAGGCTCTCAAACCTGCATGGCAGACATACTAAGTGTGAAAATGAAAGTAATGTATATATCTAAAAATTAATGTAATGTATATATTCAAAGAGATATGTAAATAGAGATATTGCCAGTTCCCTGAAAGGCATTTACATACAGTACCATTACTGTGTGCATTCATTATTTTCACTACTGCGCTGAAGACAAGGGCTGTAATTAACAATTATTTGGAATTTTTATATATATATATTTTTGTACATTTTTGGATTGGATTTTTTAAACATAAAAAAAGAAAATATTATGCTACTGGAGAATGTCTTATGAGTGATTGGTTGTTTATGGTTATGCATTTTCAATTCAATTTCCATCCACACACACAATTACCTACGCTAAACTGTTGCATATGTTTTTAATGGTAGGGGAAACAGGAGCACACGGAGGAAACCTAGGCAGACACATTGAGAACATGCAAACTTTACACAGAAAGGGCCATCACACAGAACCTTCTCGCTACTAAGAAAAAGTGCTATCCACCAGTCTGCTTTCAAAAACGTCTTCACCCCATACTTTAATCCTTTGTTCATAAAGTAGTGAGTAGTGAGTGAGTAATTTTTATTTATTTAGCACATTTTACAGACCAAGGTCACCCAAACCGCATTACAAAGTTCAAAGGTCAGATATTTTTCCATTCTCTCCACACACAGGAATGAATCAATATCATCCATTCACCCATTACATTCAGACCTATTGTACATGGGGAAACCAGAGCACCCGGAGGAAACCTAAGCAGACCCGGGGAGAACATACAAACTCTACACAGAAAGAGTTAAGAGGTGGAATCGAACCCAGGACCTTCTTGCAGTGTAACTAGAAGTGGTTGACTAATTT